TATGGTATGGCGAACCCCATGTGATGTGTAGATTCATTCAATTTATTACTTGGCATATTTTTTGCCGCCGCTTTGTTTTTGCTGCTGCCTCAAATAAATAATGCCCGGAGCTGTGCAAGCGGGTCGATTAATATAAATCAACGCCTGGCGGTGTCGTCCGAGGGAAGTTTCGAGGGAAATAGGTGGAGCGGGGCGGTGGAAATGGGTGCCTCGCCTGCCGACTTTTCCTTTGTGGCTTTAATGAAAGTAATTTATTAAGTAATTTCTAAGCTTTTAGTCGTGACGCTTGCTGTTGAGAGTTTAATTAATTGGTTTTCATATTAAACGACCCGACCAGGCCCCGATGAATTATGTATGAGAAGGTAAGTAGCAATCGATATTGAGATTGCGATTCAATGTTGCACAACGCCGGACAGGGAAAAGCCCAATTGCCCGCCCTCCATGCACGATAAACGGATCGAAATCGGAAACTGTAATCCGCAGTGAAATGGATCTAATGGATTAATAAACATTCCGCAATAATTAATTCCCAGTTTTATGAGGGCCTTCATTCAAAATGCCCCACGTTCGCTTGAAAGCAGTGGGGAACTTTTGAATGGGTCCACTTGTTCTCAGGAAATCCAGTCGCTGGATTAAGTACGACCTCTGATTCATAAATTCGACTTTATTTATTATGGGATGTCAGAGCTTAACGCCTACAGTGTGTTCGTCGCGAACGATTCAATTTTACATAGAATCGAAAAGAGAAAGCTTATATGCAAAACAAATCAAATTAATTATCAACGTATTTTGTGTAAATAATTACTGTCCAAAGATAAGTTGGCTTTTTTTTTTAAAACTATTATTTAACATAATTCTGTGTTTTAAAAAATAACTCCTATTTCAAGTTTGTTCCAAAATTATTAAAAACTTTTAACAAATTAACAGTATTAGGACCTAACCCTCTACTGCTGAACAAGATAGTTTGTACAAGCATGACGACTTGAAACGAACTTTATTTTGAGAGCTGAACTCCTCGGAGGGAAAAATTCAGTTAAAGTCAGCTAGGGGCTGCTTGGGAGCATTAGAGCAAAGTCGTTGCAAGAGTCGTCGTGGAAATTGCGACAATCTTGCCAGGGTCCATTGCCGATGGGGGCGAGGGGAACGGGGTTGTGCTTTGTGTGAGATACATTTGTATCTTTCGGTGCGGCGACTGCCACTGCAGCCACAACTAAGAGCCACCCAAACGGCGGCGGATGTGCGAGCACGAAACGTGCTTTCCGAATGGCCAAAACGAAAGCAGCCCAGACGGGCAGACAATGAAAAGTAAAGCCAAGAAAATAGACGAACGAAAAGCACAGGCAGAAAACTGCAACCGAAAATAAATAAAAATGTTTCGAGGAAAACTGTCAAGATTTGCATTTATCGTCGTTGGCGTCGTGGGCCAAGAAAATGCACATGCGATAAAAGTTGTTGCCATGGCTTTGCTATTGCCATTGCAACGTCTGGTTTCTGGTATCTGCTACTCGGTATCTTGTGTCTTGTGGATACGGGTAAGTGTATCTGTATCTGTATCTGCATTCGTATCTGTGCCTGGCCATAGATAGCTTAGTTGGCATTTGCTTAATTTGCATATCGCATTGGAGCGGCGTCTCAGCATAAAAATATTTGAGAATTTGCACTTTAATTGCACCTAAATCACCATCAGTTCGGACGGCATTAATTGACTCTGCAGATACAGACAGACTGATTGGTCTGGGTCGCCTGCACTCATTATGCGTTTGTTTCCTCTTAATTTAATTAGTCGGCGTTTTGCGGTTGTGCAATCCGCTGCTATTTGCATTTTCCAGTTCCCTAAAAAAGACCCCAGTCCAAAGCCCCAGTTTGCAGCTCAATAACAACGAGATTAAATAGAAATGCTTTATTTCCCTCGCTTTTCCCCGGCTTACCCCTTTCCCAAATTACCGTTGTTGCAGTTCAAACACGGGTTTATTGTGTGTGTTGGTTTTCCGCCAGCTTTGTGCGGAATCTGCCAATTGCTAAATAAATTAAATTTTTAGTTTCGGTCCCCCGAAATACATTGTTTATCGGACTAAATGTGGTCACAATAAATATAAATCCAGCGTTTACTGCTCACAAACTTCAATCACGCAAACAGTGACTGACTTTTGCAAACGAACTTTATTATGTCGCTAAACGTAATAAAGAACAAATAATGAAATCATAAATAAAATATAATTTTAATGCTTAGGCATAAATGTTTTTATTTCCTATTTAATCAACCCTTTGTTATGTGTGAAGGGAAAATATCTGCGTCCGGCGGGAAAGTCGCAACTAATTGACTGGAAAGTTGTCCGCCGTTTTCATTTTTCGGAATATTTCTGGAGTTTGGCTTGCGTAAGAACTGATAACTTTGCAAATATATGGTAAATTATACAGACAGCAGCCCGCAGAAAGAGTTGGAATTCCATTTGCGTTCAATCGTAATCGTGCATTTCTGACAAATTCAAATGCGCAGAAACTCCTGCTCGTTCCACCCGAAAGCCTCAATTTATTCGGTTTACAATTCAATTTAAATGTAATTTCCCTTTTTGCTAAATTACAAATGCCGGCACAGGCAAACAGAGCGAGAGAGACGGATGCCGAGTGTGCGAGGGGGACAGCCTCTGTCGGCTGTCGCATTCCTGAACGCAGTGCCACGCCCACTCACGCACGCACACACACACACACTCGGTGGGGCTGCAAAACACATGTAAATGATAGTGCACGTCATAATATTTCATTTGACACACGGCTGAAAATCGTTTTACACTTTTGGCACAAATTGACGAAATAAATCATGTTTGCGACACGTGATTGGCGACCCGAGCAGAACGGCAGTTGGCTGCGTTTGGGGGTCCAACGGTCACGGGTTGCCAGTGTGGGGTTAAGGAAGGGCGAAAAAGCGAGCACGGAAAACGAGGTAAAGTATTCAGAAACACTCCACTTACTTTTCTGCTTATATCAAATTTAGCTAAAGAACTTCATTTCCATACAGTACCAACATTCGTTTGTCCTGTTTAGTTCTCCTCGAAACTGGAAAACTGTTACCTAACTGTTGGTAGAAAAATAAAATTGATTGGAAAATTCTTTGGCTTTTGTGTCCTTTTGCAATTTTCAGTTGTGAGTGGGAGCAAGTATTTCACCCATGGGATACACCATAATCGATTTTCTAAGCTTCACCTTCAGAATTCCACCTTCTATTCGGGCGAAAGAAAATAAATTATGTGTTTGCGCTTTCAAGGGGATTTACGCTGCGTTTTAATTCAATTTCGCTTGGCCATGCAACGTGGCGTATGCGCGATGTTTCATTGCCCACACACTCACCCGTATTCAAGTGATTTGTGCTTAAGAAAGCAGCAACGAAAGCAACAGTTCGGTGTAATATTGTTTTATAATTAAATTATGGCGGAATGCTTTTGACATTTTCGCCATTTCGTCGTTAACCGGTTGTTCGCGGCTGTTGACGGGATTATTCGGCGATTGGGTATTCGGCCAACAAGACAAACAAGACAGACAGACGCAAAAGGCCACGTTGATGGCGAATGATTGAATTGCGGCCTGCGTCAGTTCTTTTTACGTGCGAGAGTGTGCTTTTCAATTTGCGATCACAAAAATCAGCAAATTGCATTTCGATTGTGATTCGGGCTTGATGAATAGCCAGAATCGACTGTCGCGAATCGAAACCGAAGGGGGTCAATTATTTCGAGCGACTCGATTGAATTTCTAATGACTCAAAGGGGTATTAAATGCGCATTAAGCGGAGTCACATCGCCGGCTGGCTGCCCATGGGGCACACTCACTTATCGATGTTCAACTAACCACATTAGCCTAATGATTTCGCCGAGTTTCCCAGTCTGAGTCTGAGTCCCAGTCGCAGTCCCTCTTCCATTTCCATTCCCAGTTCGGGTCCAAGTCGAAGTCCCCATCATCATCATCATTGTCAGCACTTAAATGCAGGCTTCATTTGCTTAATTGCATGGCAAATGTTGCCGTGATTAATGTGACAGCGATTGGGACTGGAGCTTGGCGGGGAATGGGTCCGTGGCCTACGCACAACTCCCCAAAGACTCTCAAAAGCGGAAAACAGCTAAAGGTGGAAAAGGAGACAAGCAATCAACACAAACCTGTTCATTATCAATGCTTCGCGCTTGTGAATGAACTTGGCTGAAAATCGGAATAGACCGCTCTTTCATACACCAGAAATTAAAATGGCAATATTGTTTGTATACTGGATTCAATAAATTACTGCAGTCAATGAATTTGAAAGATTCTGCTTTCCATTTAAAAGACATCTACATGCTCATGACGTTAGTGTATTAAAAATATTTTTTTTTAAATTTAAAATAGTATACATATAGCTAAATGAAATGTCTTATTTATTTGTGAATCTTGTCTGCATTTTAAAGCAAAATAATATGTATTTCTCTGAGCACGGGCGCTACACTATATAATTTTTTGTTTAAGCTGCAGTGTTTCTGAGAGTGCGCCGAGTTGCAACCTCCTCTGCTGGTGCCACACACCCATTTCCCCCGTTCTTGTTGCCCCTAGATTAGCGGAAGCGAGAACATTCAGTGGCGATGTGGGGCAAGGCTTCTCTGCGGCGATGCCGATGTGACCCACTTGCGGCGAGTGACAGCCACAATCACATTGGGAACTGGGATCTGTGGACAGGGGGTGGTGAATGGGGGATGGGGAAAGGGGCACAGAAACCCATCCGGAAAACAGAGCCACATGCCACCTTGCCCCTCGATCGCCTGTCGACGCCTCAAGTTGCGTTGCGGGGGCCTATTTATAGATAAAGCGACTAAGTGGGCAAATTACTTCCGACAAATCGCAAATTTGAACTTTAAAATGCACGGTTATAAATAATCGACTGGCAATTAGCTGTTTGCCATTGCGATTCGCACTCAGAGGTCCGGGGGAAAGGCGCATTTCGACTTCGCAAGCCACTTATGCAAGCTGCCATCGTTTGTCATTACCCGATGATTTCCGCGAAAATTGCTCGCTCCCCGAGTCCTTAGCAATAATTTGTACGAAAAGCCGCGACGACTCGCGAGGCGTTTGGCTCAGCCAAGAAATAAAAACTAATTGCGGCGATTGCAAATTGCCAGATTTCAATGTCAATGGCGGCCAAAAGAGAGTGAGTTGCAGCGGATGGTCAGTAGCCAGTAGCCAGCGTCATCATCATTAGCGAGTGGCGACCGATTCTGCATCTCCGTGTTCCGCATCTCTCGGCGGAATGCATCTCTGCGGTTGCCAATCAATAATTTGCTCGGCGAATGCCTCCGCTGGCTGTAATTGTGTTCTGGCCTCTGTCTCTCTTTTTGTGCAATTTTCATTCATTGCATTTGGCAAGCCACTGCCAATAAGTTGGCTTTCGCAGCAGTACAGAGAGAGAAAAACGCGCCACGATGTGAGTGTTTTCATATGGGCTTCACAACGAGAGAAGAAGGGGTTAATTTTGTTGATCATGCTTTTGCATTCAATAAATCAAAAAACATTGATTCGATTAAATGCAGTTTCCGTTTACTCGGTTTTTCATTTTAAAACCAATTTTTTTTATCGATGTGTGTGTTGTATTAATTAATAAAAGCAAAGCATCGATTCAATGGGATTAAGTAAAGGTTTATACATATTTCTGTACTGTAACAAAGTTTGTTTATAACATGTATATTTAAATGTTAATATGCAAGACAAGAAAATAATATATTATCATATTAACTCGATAAAAAATGCGTTTATCATACCATAGTGCTAAAAAATTACACTAAACTGTTTGTATATCATATTTTTATATTTTAATATTTTTATATTTGAGGCAAGAGCTTGCATTGACTTGGTAAAGGTTGAATTTAGCTTTGTTTTATATTTTCACCAAATACGAGTGCTAACACTAAATACATATGTTCAAGGGACGTTCTTACTATATGACTGACTCACGGGTTTGTATACATTAATAATGAACTTATAATTAATATGCTTCTTCTGTGAATATTAGGTAAGTAATCTCTACAGATTTGGGACTTAATTAGCAGCTTCTGCAATAGTTATTATTCCCAGTGTACAGAGCATGGCTTATGGCAGCGGCAGTTTCTATACAGCATTTAATTGCACGTTTCGGCCAGCAAAACAGCCATGACAGCAGCAACATCAGCAGTAGCAGCAACAGCAACAGCAACATCAGCAGCAATAACAACAGCAACATTGGCAGCAGCAGCAGCAACAACAGCAACAACAGCAACAGCAACATCAGCCGCAATGACAATGCCAGACACAAAATAACCAAAGGCAAGTTTTTGTGGTTTGTGCCGGGTCGCTTTTCAGCTGGCTCGGTTTTGTCTCCTCCTCGGTTCGGTTCTTCAACTTGGCCAAGTCGGGGCCGTAGAAAATGTCTATATTATACGGAATATTCGTCTGTCATTAGGGCGGAGGAGCGGTGGGCGGGAGGCGGGAGGGGGCGGGGCCGAGGAGAATGGAGCGTAATGAGTTTGTGGTTAGACTGAATCTGCCGCAGAGCATGATGTATAAGTACTCGTATTTATATTTGTTCTCGTGCAATTTGCAGCCATACAATGTTGCCTGCTTTCCACCCGGCAAGTACTTTGCGATGCCGGACGTTCATAATCACCATTTATATTTTCCACTGACACAAATAGCAGCTGGCATGTACATAAATACGAGGCACAAGAGTGGCGCCTCTGCCCATTTCGGTTGTTCAACCTGTATTCTTAGGGCAAAGCTATCGGTCAGTTGTTATTTATAATAATTTCGAATGTACAATATAATATCTGTAACAAGCAGCCCTATGTACATATACCTATTATTAAGCACTGCTTGATAAGCAGTTAACGTTATTGTATATTCCTTAAGTTAAGCCATCCTTTATGTCCCCTTTACTCCTTTAAGAAACACCATGTAAACCCATCTCTAAGTATGTACGTCTCTCTCTTGCACATACGAGATTGTGAAATAGGCTAAGCATTAACAGAGATGAGATCACTTTAACACCCTGATTGTATCACTACATAACTTAATGGTATAGTGCATCCAACTGTTAGTTGTTTTGTAGTTGTTGAGGCTTTTCGATGGTCTTGTTTTTTCTTCGGATACCCACCTTGGCTTCCCCATATCTTTGACCTTTTGTCTTAATGTTTCTGCCAGTTGTTGCTGCAACTAATGTGTTTCCTGCCCCACCTGCACCCCTGCCTCGTTTTTCCTCGCCACATGTGACCTCCGAGTGGCGTTTGCAGCCAAACACATTCCAGCATGCTAATTAGTTCGGGGCAGGTAAACCTGCCGCAGAGCTTTTTGCGCCCATTTCGCCATTTTCGTGCGTGTTCATTATAATAATTCCCGTGCTTTTGTCCGGTTTCTGTATTTGGCCAGGTTTAATTAATGATTCGCTAAGCTGCAGACGCCACTCCCCTGCGCTGCGTTTCGCCTTTGTGCATGCCAGGGGTTAATTGGGTGTCGGAACGTGGGTTAATTCCGACAGCACGGGGAGAAAATCATGGCCACATCACTTTCGTACCTTTTGGGGGTGAAAGGGACTTCCATTTCGGGTGAACAATTTTCTCGCAGTGCAGCCACACATCCCCTGGCCAGCACGTCCAATTGCGACCAGAACTCACGCCGCATGCAATTCAAGCGCGTGTGCTCTCGAGTGTGTTGGTGCTTGCTACACGTGGCAGCATCAAATCCGAAATCCAAATCCGAAATGTAAAATCCGAAAACAGGGCGCCCCCAATCAGCTCGCATATTGTGGCAGCAGCTCTCTGGGCGCTTTTGTTGCGGCGAATGCTCTTTTCCGCTGCCACGTTTCGTTACACAAAAGGCCAAGTTACACTGGCGGCCAAGAAAGGCGCAGATACTCGGGGTCTCGGGGTGCGAGCTCTTATATATTTTTTATGATTGTTAGCATGCACATGGGTCTTACTTGCCACGCCACGCACTTGCCACATTTATTGCACTCACGTTGCAAAATGTAATTCAAGCACACTGCCGAAAGACTATCTGCGTTCGAATGTGGTTTTAAAATGCAAGTATTCACTATAAATGCAAGCAGATAATGTTATTCTAAGCTTTTAAGCTATTTAAAAGTCAGTCTCTTCATTAAAAAAAAAAAATAATTTGTAAGCCCCACATAGAGTATCTATGAAATTGATGTCGCAACTCTGTGAAATGATTCCCCCACTTAACATTTTCGATGTGCTCTCTCCGCTTGAAAGTCACATGTGCATTTGCATGTGACCGATTGAGGTTTATGAATATAAATTGTTTGTTAATTAAATCCAACAACAACAACAACAAGAGCAGTAACAACGACGACCAGAAGGATCAACAATGAGGCAGACAACTGTGGGATGGTCGGTTGGTTGCTGGTTGTTTGGTTTGGCTAGACTTTAATACCGGAAATTGATTAAAAGCTCATTTCATTTGCCTGCCGTGGAGCTGCATTGTTGTGGCAGCCCCTCCTCGCTGTCATAATTTGCCGTTTGAAATGATTACAGTGCTGCACACACTCGGTAATTGCAACTGCTGATGTTGCCGATGTAGTTGTTAAAGAGGAAATACCCATGCACAACATGCCGATTTGTGTTGCCGTTGCAGTTTCAGTTGCAGCTGTAGTTGTAGTTGCAGTTGGCCCTATTCATTCCACTGCTATCGGACACCCTAGTTTTAAAACCTAAGTGCTGCAAAGAGAATGCGCTCTACATTGTTTGACTATTGACTTGTAGTGATACAATCAGGGTCTTGTTTCTTCAGTGGTCGCATCAAAAGTGATCTTTATTTCATCAACTCTGTTAATGCTTAGCCTATTTCACACTCTCGTATGTGCAAGAGAGAGACGTACATACTTAGAGATGGGTTTACATGGTGTTTCTTAAAGGAGTAAGGGGGACATAAAGGATGACTTAACTTAAGGAATATACAATAACGTTAACTGCTTATCAAGCAGTGCTTAATAATAGGTATATGTACATAGGGCTGCTTGCTACAGACTGTGGGTGCAGTAACCATTTTGTTGATAAATTGGTCCATTTAAATTGTATTGGGATTAAACCATTTTTTTACACTTGTTGTTTTCTTTGCACTTTAGTTTTTTGAACATTGCATTTATCAGTTTTTATTTCGAATTTGTTTCAAAGTTTAACGTGGGATCTCTTCCAAATTCCAAAATAATCTGGAGTGGTTATAATGTGTAGTAGTTAAAGTTATAGTAAATGGTTATGCAAGTATGAAGTTCTTCAATCGTTTTCTTCCTGTGCGCGATTATTGTAATTGGCCTAAGACACGTTGCCTAATTGCCGGATTACGCTCGAAGAAAGATTAGAAAACGCTTTCGTATCTGCCGTTTTGCCGGCTCGCTGAACTTGCGTATTCTGCCGAGTGGCTCGGAAAGTTATCTCATTTGTTTTTATCGGCCGAGGACGAGAAAAGGTCCGTTATGCCAACAACCCCCGAAAACACATTTATGGCAACTGGGAATTATTTATTTTCCAAAACATTTGCCCGGAATATGGCCATGTAATGTCCAACTTGAACTTTAATGGGTTTCCACTTCCCCGAAAAGGCTGTTACATTTTTCCTCTCCCTCGCTCTCTCACTGGATTTTCTCGCCCCATCTCCCTTCCTCGCTCGCTCGCCATAATTTTTCTGCCAATTTGAGCAACTGGGAAAGTTGGCCGACTCTCGCACTTACACGTATTTACGTTGCGATTTTTATTTCCTGTAATTTTTACGATATTACTTATTTTTATGCAGCTCACAGCAGATCGGGAAGGGGAATGAGGGCTTTATATGTGGCAGGGCGGCGGTCGGGGGAGCAGCGTTTAGCTTTCATTTTGAATTTTATGCCATTTTTATTGCTTGTTGTGCGCCATGTTGCTGTCGTCGTCGTCGCAGTTGTTGATGTTGCTGTTGCTGTTGCTGCTGCCGTTGCTGATGTTGCTGCTGGCAGCCGCATTATTAGTTTTTGAAACTCGAGCTGGGCCACGACAGAAATTAAAATAAAATGCGACGGGGGAGTGGCGGCGCCCCGGAGCCATCTATCTGCGTGCCAGCGTGCCAGAGG